GCCCAGCCTCGGAGGCCACGTCAGAGGCCGCCCTGCAGGTTCAAGATGCTTCACAGCTTTGCTAGCCTTTGTGCCTTCACGCTCCCTCAGGGCCGCGGCACATCACCCGCCATGCAAAGAGGCTCTAGCCTCAAAGGCGCCAAGGGCCGACTTTGCAAAGACATGCTGCTGCGTGGAGCCAAGCCTCGAGGCGGCACCGGCACGGAAGCCGCGAAAGAAAACGTACTTGGAACCCTTTTCTACAGCGTTTGCTTGAGATTGTGGGCATGGTCAGGATGGTGGTTGAAACTCAAAACTGTTCCAAACATTTCCAAACTTCAAACTTGCAACAGGCTTCAAAGAATAGGTCTTGCTGCCGCCTCCAGCTTCTGCACTGCTGGCGGATTGACGCTGATCGGCACCCGCTCGCCCTGGCTTTAGCTCGATGCGGATGAGCATTCAGCTGTCAGCCAGACACGCAGGGAATTTGGTCCTTAAAGACAGGCCCTCAATTACTCTTGGCCATCCTGTGAGGCCTTTCTTCTGAGCACTACAGCCTTTGGCATTCAAGTCACTGGCATGCAGCCCTGGCGATGCTTACAGTATCCTACAGCATTCACATGCATTCACACTCTTGAGTTCGCACTACCGCAAGACACAGCGCTCCGAGCTGTTCACAGGCCAAAAGCATCGCAAGAGATATCCACGATCCAAAGCTCATGCCGTTTCCCAGGCTTCAGCTCTGAAAGTCATGTCGAAGCTCCAGATTCTGCAACAACAAGTCAATCAACTGTGGTTTCTCAAGGCCTGAAAGCGTACTGGCCAACTGCTAAGATTAGGAAGTGTTCTGAAGGCCCCGCGTACACTGGAGATGAAAGGCTTTTTCTCTTGATCTGGCAGTGGCTGCCTCGATTTCCACGTGCGATGCACGTCGGAGGGCCTGGCACAGCATGGGCATCAAAAGAAATAGGTGGCTATGGCTCTGAACTCTGAACTGGATAAGTGTGGTGCTGCCTCGGCTACGGGAGTGCCCACAGCAACTTTCTCCTCATTCGCTTCATACAGGGCAACCTGAAGCGATGTTACCCAACGG